GAAGTGTGTGGGGCTCAGCACATTTCAGCCAGTGGAGTGCAGGGTGTGTGAGATGCTGAGGGACAGATAGAGGGTGACAGAGCGGAAAACACAGAGAAGGACGCTCTGGACCTCGGCAGCGGATGCAGGCCAAAGGCACATTGGGTGGAGTAGGACTAGGAGTGAAAAAAAGGGAAGATTTGTTGGTGATGGGGAACACTTGTGTAATCTGTCTAGTGACAGGAGGAGAGGGAAAGTGTAGCAAGAGGGCAGGGGAGAACCTAGGTTCCAGCAGAGGAGCTTCCTTGGGAGCTCCCACCACTGAGAAGGGAGAGGAGCTAGGGGAAATTGGCATAGATGGAAGTAAATTTGTAAGGATGAAGGTTTTCGGAGCTTAGGAAACTGGGGGAGTTTGTAGCTCATAAAGACCTCTTGCCTCGTAGGTAGAAGGCAGTTCATTTGGTTGGGAAAGAGTGAAAGTTAATGGTTTCCTACACAAATATTGAGATTGTATTATATAACTATAGATTGTCTGTCAGCCTGCTAAATAGAGGTAATGCAAAGTTGTCTTTGAGCAGACCTCTGTAACCCTGTGCTGCTGGAAAGAGTCTTTAAAGGAAATGAAGGACCTTATAATCCATGCTCTGCTTGAAAACAGCTAAGTTATATAGCTATTTTATGCTTCTGTTCATCTTGTGTGTGTATATAATATAAATGGTATTTATCCATATATATGTACACACAATATATGCATATATGGATAGACACACCTTAGTTCTTAGCCAAAGATCCACAGTCTAACACTTGTGTTGATTTCTCATTGCAGTGAGGGAGAATGCACATTATAGGATACCATGATGTGTCTTAAGTAAGAGGGTATCAGAACCTAGCATAGGATTTAGGCCTTGGTTGTGTAATTTTAGGGACTGGAGAGAGCAGAGCCAGAAGACTGGACAATCCTATGATTGGTGTTTATAAATCTAATTTTTGGGTGGACAGACTAAATTGGGAGAAAGACTATAAGTGGTAAAAGAAGTAGCAGTCACGTAGTGAAAAAGGATATTTGGTATTGTGGGTTACATGATGACCTTTTTTTGAGGGGTGTCACTTTGTCTTAGTCTCAGAGTGACTTCATTTCATACAGCTACTCTGAGATTATGCCCAACAGAAAAATAAAATGGCCTGACCGTGAGTGTCCAGCTAACTTGTAGTAATGTTGAAGTCTGACTGAAAGGTAGATCAATTCCAGATGGGTTTTTTTTTTATATGCTTATACTGTGTATGAAAAATATGTACCCCACGCACTCATATCTTCATTGGTCTGATTCTTTAAATGAGCTATTTTTGTTTTGGTGAGTGTAGTTTTAACATGTATTAGCAAAAGTTAAAAAAAGAATTATCTTGTATGCTCTGGTTTGTATGTAGCTTGGATGTGGATCCCAGGGGTTCACATGTTATAGAAGCCTGGTCCTCCCTGTGGCAAGATTAAGAGGAGGTGGAACCTTTGAGAGAACCTTTAAGAACCTTCAAGGGCCTAGCGGAAGGTGGTTAGGTCATTGTGGGTACCTTCCTCAGAAGGGATCAACATGGCTGTCTGTGGACTTACATCCACAGAGGGGGAGGGGAGGGGGAGGGGGAGGGAGGCGGTTCTTCTAAGGGAGCAAGACTGGCCCCTTCCAGGCCTCTGGTACCCTCTCTTGCTATGTGATCTCTCCCAATGCACTGCCACCATTGTGATACCACCCACCATGAACCCCGCAAGAGCGGATCAGAAGCTGGCATTGTACCCTTGAGCCTGAGAATTTTGAGCTAAATAATATAGTCTCTTTTCTTTATAAACTACCCAGCCTTAAGTATTTTGTTGCAGTAACAGAAGTAACTAATACATAGTATTTTAGTACCTCAAGACTCATGAGAATTTCATCTGTGTCAGTAGTGTAAGATGTACCGGCATCTGGAAAACTTGTTATGTTGCTGGCAAATGAACAGAAAACAGAAGATTGTTCCTTTGATCCAGGTAGAATGTGGGTCGTGGTGGTGGGGCAGAGAGGAGGAGCATTTTTAGAGCTATTTAGAAGATAGAGGAACAGAACTTGGTGTCAGAGTGTGGTAGGTAGGGAAGCCAGAAGAGTGAAGGACAGTGCCTAGTTTTCTACTGAGCAGGAAGTGATCTTCTTCAACTCCTCACCAGCTTGGAAAGAAGGAAAGAAGTTGGCAGGGAGGAACAAATTGCAGGCAGGAATTTATACAGTAGCATGAGTCTGGGTGGAGATGTCTGCCTTTAATCAGCCTTGTGTGTGCCTAATATCTGACAGAATGCTCACTTGTCCCACTCACACCCATTCTTTGTTTATTAACAGCCCAGGTTCTTATGTCATAGTCTGGCCATGTAGGCACATGTATATAAATGATAAAATTACCACCAGCAGATTGTTTATCTGGGTAGGGACCTAAAGGGGAGCCGATAGGGTGTCTTAATGGCCATTGTCGTCAGGGTTTGACATCTGTGTTTCAGGGGTTTACGTGCCCAGTACCTGTACGGAAACACAGGACTGACCCACGAGCCAAGTTCTGAACTGAGTGCTGAAATGCTGGGCGCCAAGACTAGCAGTGTGGGTTTCGTACGATGTCAGCACCTAGCCTAAGAGTTGGTGCTTCGTGGCTACCCCGACTGTGCTGGAAGAGTATGGACTCCACAGAAGAAAGGGCATGTGTGTCTGGCACAATGCAGCAAAGGGCCGGGCTGAGGCTCTGGTGTTTAGGTATTTGCCACTTCGGTTCCAAACTTTGCAATTTTTTTATCCAACTGGTTTACAACCATAGAAACATGAAGGGGAGAGGAGAAAGAGGGAAGCAATTAAAATGTATTTGTAAGCACTTAGCAGATGAGGTTTTCTTTTTTAGATTTTATTTTTATTAGTACATGTTTGCAGTACGTGTTGACATTCTTGTGGGGAGCTGGAACAGGTACATAACACCTCTCAATTCTGTTTTCATCCCCTTCCCTTCCTCTTCCTCCTCCATCTGTGGGTCCCCCTGTTTCTTACCCTTTGTTTTGCTCATTTACATTTTGGGTTTCTATGATATTTAAGTGAGAAGAGGTTTTTTTTTTAACCTATTTTTTTCTGACATCCTGAACCAACCAGTGTAAGGAAACCAAATGTAGCTAAATTTAAAAAGCAGTGCTTCTGGTGGATATATAAACCATGTAGGCATTGAGGGTCTCTGATCTATTACATTTGCTCTTGTTTTGTTTTTGCCATTTTTTCTCTTTCCTTCACCTGACTGTCTTCTCCCTGCCCTTTCAGAAAAGTTTCTTTCTCTTGTTAAGATTCCTTTTACTCAGCTGAGCATGGTGGTGCATGCCTGTAATCCCAGCTCTCGGGAAGCTGAGGCAGGAGGATCACTGGGAGTTCGAGGCCACCCTGGGGTACACAGTGGGTTCAGGGCCAGCCTGAACTACAAAGGGAGGCCCTGCCTCAAAAAACAACAACAAAAAATTCCTTTTACTCTTCCAGCTAATATTTTGGATCAGAACATAAAGCTAAATTTTTATCATATGTGAAAATAGCTTGTTTAATAGTTGCTTTCTCTGTAAAATGGAAGCGAACTAATTGTTTTTGTTCATAAATGCATACATGTGATGCATAATCCTGTTTTATTAAATTGACACCTGTCTTCAAAATTATGTGCCAGTTTCTCAGATCCTCATACTATTAAAAATGATTTAAATGAACCTACAGAGATTGAAAAAAAATCTAGCTAGATGATGGGGATAGGGCTAGATTTCAGATTTGTGGTACAGAAGCAGTGTTAAAGCTTATGATTGGTTCCCTAGTTATCTTGATTACTCCTATAAACAAAAGACATTGCTTTTCATTTTAAATCCTTCTTACATGCTTCATTTGTTACTGAATTCTTGTGCCTTTGGAAGTTTCTAAAGTTCTCCATTAAGCAGAATTTTAAGAATATTATGATAATAGTTAAGTATAATATTGATATTAATAGGTTTTCCTTAGGAATTTCCTTTCATTATTTTTGTTGTAACCATTCATGACATATAAAACTTACTATATTAAGCATGAGTATTCGTAATGGATATGTGAAAAAAATAATGGATTGTTTCTTAGTAATATCTTGGAGAAAATGTTAGCATATAACCCACTTATTACTAGAAAGTGAAGACTGAAAGAATTGAGTTTGACTTTTGAGTTTCTTGAAAGAAAATTATGGTATCTTAACATACAATTTTGAAAATATTGAAACTCAAAAATTAGTAAACATTGAACTAATTAGCTAATAAAATGAATTTATGTTTCTTTCAGCTGCCAAAGCTTTTTCTTCACTTTTTGTGGTGCTTCATTAGTTGAATAAGTGATCTAATAACAGTGTAATTTAGTCAGCTAGGAGAAGTTGTAGTGATCACTGTTTGATTAGGACTGAAATGGTTTCGGAAGGAAATAATTTTAAAATTTCTTTACATGACTACTTTTGATATAATTACTTCTAGAAGAATAAGAGGTTTAGGGCCGGGGATTTAGCTCAGTGGTTCCACTGCCTGCGTAGAAAGTGCAAGGTCCCGAGTTTGATCCCTGGTACCAAAAGAAAAAAATGAATAAGATGTTTAAAAGTTACTTACTAGACTTTTGGAACTAGGAATACTTTAGAATTGTGCTGGTTCTGGTATTTCACTTTATGGCTAATGGTACAGGGAGGCAAAAGCCTGGAGAAATGAATTATCCCAGATGACACATTTGGTCAAAATAAAACCCAGATCTCAGCCGGATTTCCTGGTTGAGTGCTTTTCACCCTGTAATCCATGTTATTCTCTGAAAAACAATGTAGATCCTATTTAAAATAAAAGGAGGTGGGTGAATGCCAGAGGAAAAGGGCAGAGTAGTCGCCCTGTCCGAAATCTAGGTTTAGGAGCTCCCTTAGTGGGTTTCCAGCAGCTGCTTTTCAGACAAAATACATCTGTGGTGGGGATATCTGTGCTAATAAAATCAATTTGTGCTTTTTAGGTGAGAGTTACGTGTGTGCATCCAATGAGCCATTTCGTAAAGTCGATTACACCAAAAATATTAACCCGAACTGGTCCGTGAACATTAAGGGTGGAACAACTCGAGCGTTGGCTCCTGCCTCCTCCGTGAAAAGTGAAGTCAAAGAAAGCAAAGATTTCATCAAGCCCAAGTTAGTGACCGTGATTCGAAGTGGAGTGAAGCCTAGAAAAGCTGTGAGGATCCTTCTGAATAAAAAGACTGCTCATTCCTTTGAACAGGTCCTAACTGACATCACCGAAGCCATTAAGCTCGACTCAGGAGTGGTTAAAAGGCTCTGCACCTTGGACGGAAAGCAGGTAAGAGCTCAGCCGCCGGCTCTCTGGCTGCTTTCAAACTCTCCGGGCCACGCTGGTGCTGGAGCCAACAGCAGACATTGACAGGGTGCTGGAGATAATTCTGTTCTTCCTGTTCGAGAGGAGGGAGAGAAGAGGGGGGTGTCTTTATCATGAAAAATGTAAATGTATTTCATGTTTCCAAACATCTCAGAAGGGCACAGAGAAATGTCCATCATATACCTTGAGTTGTTGAACGGGAAATGTACGTTTCCGAAGGAAAGATGTAAGTTGCAGAGATATCCTATGTTAAGTGAGATGTTGTTTGTTTAAGATTAAGACTTTATTGTTGATAAGTAAAGTTTTTATTGGCTTGGGTGTCACAGAAGTCAAAATTAAAGGTATTTAATGTACTGTATTTAGAAAACCCTTTTGTCCCCATTTATGAAAAATACTTTTCAGAAGAAAGCACTTGTATAGGGTTGTCCATGTATATTTTGTACAGAGCAAGGAAGGCAATTAGCCAGCATTTCTGAATAGTGAGCACCAACTGCCCAGGAAAATCCAAGTCAGATTATGGTAACAGTTTGCGAGGGAATCTAGTGGACTAACAAATCTTGGGCACATTGCAAGAGCACATAAATAGGAGTTATAAAAATGGGGACTTTTGGGCTGGGGATTTAGCTCAGTGGTGCCACCGCCTGCCTTGCAAGCACAAAGTCCTGAGTTCGATCCCCGGTAAGCCCCCCCCCCCCCAAAAAAAACACACCAAAAATGGACTTTTCCTACAAAACTGATTGAAAGAAACATGACTTCTAAAGTGTATTTTTCTCGAATTTCCATAAAGTTGAATTATTTATATTTGCATTGTATGAAAACAGTTTGTGATATTAGTTTCTTCATTCCATTTTGTTTCTTCTCCCTAACATTTTTTAAAAGTATTTGGCTCTTGTATTGCTGAGAATGAATAACATGAAACACTGGAGCAGTGTCTTCCAGAAAAACCCAAAGTAGTTCCTAATTTCCAAGACCAGATCAAGTTACTAGGGTGTTTCCTGCAGCATTAACAACATTTTAAAAAACAGGCTCTGGAAACTAGTATGTATCTGAGTGGTAGAGTATATGCTTAGTATATCTGAGGCTGTGGTTCAGTCCCTAGCACCAAAGATAAATATATAAATAAAACATAGGCTTTGAAGATTAAAGTAGAATACGGTAAGATTAGCATGTTCAAATTAGTTAATGACTAGAGGGGATATACTACTTAGCAGCATGCTTCAAAATAGATTCACAGTATTAATGATAACAAACACTTTGTATAATGACGTTAGTAACCTAGTATAAGATAAAACACTGTAAGATTCACTTTACATGTAAATAAAAGTAAATTAGGCCATAAGAAAGAGTTATGAAAAATTATTATTTTATGTTTGCAGTGCACATGATTCATCATGGTGAGTTGGTACATGTGCATAACACATCTTAATTCTTTTTACATCCTCTCCCTCTGGGAAATTAGATAGATGTTTCTTTCTTTCTTTTTTTTCCCCATTAAGTTCACTGGTACATTTTAGGTATACAGTACAGTTATATTCATCATGGGGATCTTGTACCTTTACATGAGTCTCTTGGTTCTTATTTTTTCCCCTTCCCCTGCCCTCCTTTCACCCCCTCCACCCTTCCCTATTTGCAAAGATTTTGTTTCCATTTTTTCCTTTTCTCATATTTTTTCTTTTCCCTTCTTTCCTTTCCCCTAACCCTCCCACTTCCCCTGCTCTTTTAGACCTTTTCTTCCTGTTACGCAATTAGATAGATGTTTCTTGGTGAGCACAAGAAAGACAGGAAGTATAGACACAAATATTTAAGATACCTAACTGGAAGAAAAACCTAAATATGCCTAACTGGAAAAAATGACATAATCAGTAATTGAAGATGAGATTTTAGTAAGACTTCACATTTGAAATCTCCAAATGACATTCAGTGAAGTTAAAAAGTTGAATATTTCATTAAAATAGTAACTATTGAAATTTTAATAGTTACCTAAGAAATTCTCTTCAAAAATACTTCAGACTAGAAATATAAAAATGTTAACTAGGGCCGGGGATTTAGCTCAGTGGTTCCACCACCTGCCTCATAAGCACAAGGTCACAAGTTCGATCCCCGGTACCCCCCTCAAATGTTAACTAAGTGCAAACAACTCAGATCCTCAACATATTCAGAATAATGCAGTGTGATGAGCAGGATGCCTTCCAGAAATGAAAGGATTGCGTACTATTAAGCTCCTGTTTGCATGAGAGCTCTAGGGTAAAGCATAAAATCACACATATATAATCACAGAAAGATGTTGCAAAGACATTGGACAAAATACAAAATCTGTGTTCAGTTGCAGACTCAGTATTAAGCTGGGTGAGGTGGCTGATGCCTTCTAATCTCAGCAGGGAAGGAGGACCAAGCAAGAGGGTCGCAAGTTTGAATCCTGCCTGAGCAACTTATTGAGACCATTCTCAAAAATAAAACTAAAAAGGGCTGGAGGTGTAGCTCAGTTTTAGAGAGCCCCTGGGTTCGATTCTCAGTACTTTCCTCCCTAAAAAAAGGATTTACTGTTAAAAATTGAAAATGATTTATCTTGATACACTAAAAAATTTTCCTGTCTGAAAAGCCCAAAATATTACTAAAGAAATAGAATCTTGGAAGGATTTCTGTGGTGATCAACTCCAAGGTAACACCTGATGGCATCAATATTCCAATATTCTTCCCTAAATTATTCCTTTTTTTTCTTTTTCTTTTCTTTTTCTTTTTTTGGTGCCAGGGATTGAACTTGGGTCCTTGCACTTGGGCAGCAGGCGGCGAAACCACTGAGCTAAATCCCTGGCTCTTATTCCTGATTTTTATTTATAGTTTAATGTAGTTTGAGAAGGACTCTAAATGAGATTTGGGCACAAGGAGTAGGGTACCTGACAAAGTGATTTTACGTAAAAGTTAGTCTGGAAAAATAGGAAAATTTGAAAATAGTGATTAATGGGCAGTCATGCTACCAGATATTAAATCATCATCCTTATACTATACCAAAAATAAATTCCAGGTGTTTAAAAAATATAGATGTCAAAGTGAAGCAGAAACACTAAGAAAACATGTCAATATTTTGATAAAATGGGAAAGGATTTTTCTCAGCATAAAAGTAGTGGGGAAATCACAAAGGGTAAGGTTGATTGGTTGGACAACTTAAAAATTAAAAATTTCTGGATGTCAGTTCAAAGATTTTTAGCTTGAGTATTTAATATGAAGCAGATAAATGCTGTAATAGAAGAATGTATAAAAGTTTAAACAATTTGAAAAGAATTATAAATAGCAAACATTAAAAAATGTTCTGGGATCCAGGGCTGTAGCTCAGTCATAGAATGTTCAGCATGTGCGAGACCTTGGGTTTGATCCCCACCCCCACCCTAACAAAACACAATCACCAAATTCAGTCTTGTGAATAACAGTGTGGAGTAAAGGTGAGATATTAGAGGGGCCTAGTGGCTCATGTACTGAGCGGCTGAGGCAGGAGGACTGCACGTTCAAGCCCACCCTGGGCAACTGAGTGACTTAGCAAGAACTTATCTCAAAAAAAGATGGTGAGATATTATTTTTAATGTTTAAAGTGGACAGGTTTATCAAAAAGAAAATGTCCATTGTGAGTATTCAGTGATTTGGCAGTATCAAATGGTGATGGAAGTATAAAATCTGAAAGCTTGATGGAAAGCAGTTTGAACTACTAGATGAATTTTACGAATTCGTCCTCAATATTGTGAGATGCAAACATATTATGCATAAGAATTTTCATCCCAGCATAAAAGCTAAAGATTTGAAACAGTCTAGGATCGCTGTATAAGGGAATAGTTAAATGATATCACTATGGAATTCATATTGACTGGCCTTTGAAGATTGTTTTGGGCACTATTTAAAGACATGAGAAAATGTCAAATGGAAAAAGCAAGAAACTAGTATGGTTTCAATTTTGTTATAGAAAAGTGAAGGGAGAAGCATTTTTTAAAAAACATTCAGAAAGAAACAAAATTGGTATTGCCATCAGAAGTCAAATGTTTGATGTTCTGATTTCCACTGTCTTCTTCCTGAAGATCAAAACCAACACGAATTAATTATTAAAATTTTGATTTGTGGGGGCGGGGATTTAGCTCAGTGGCAATGCGCCTGCCTTGTATAAGTTCAGGGTCTTGAGTTCAATCCCTGGTCCTGAAAAAAATTTTTTTTTTTTGATTTGTGGCTGTACAGTGTTACAGATAGCACTTTTGTCATTGTTTACTCCCTATGAATTTAAGTACTATTTTCCATGTGCCAAGAAAAATTGTGTTATTAAATTTTCAAATAGCATTTTGGGGAAGAAATTATAGATTTCAGGGGTGTGTGTGTGTGTGTGTGTGTGTGTGTGTGTGTGTGTGTTGTACTGGGATTGAGCCCAGGGCCTTGCACATGCTAGGCAAGTGTACCAAGCCACACCCTACTGTCAGATTTTGGGGGTGTCAGGTGAACCTAGGGCCTTTGCCATCAGCTATCTCCCCAGCCCTTTTTAAAAATTTTTCCTAAGTTGGAGCTCAAACTTGATAGTATTTTTGCCTCAGCCTCCCAGAGTGTTCGGATTATGGGTGTGCTGCCACACCCAGCTCAGATTGGTTTTCTTTTTCTTTTTCTTTTTCTTTTTAATTAATTATTTATTTATTTTTTAATTTTTTTTTAATTAAATTCTTTTATTGATACATTGTAGGTATACAACACAATTACATTTCTCATTGGGAATTGTACCTTTACATAATGCATCTTGGTTCTTATTTTTTCCCCATTCCTAGCCCTCCCTTCACGCCCTCCACCCTTCCCTATTTACAAAGACTTTATTGCCATTTTTTCCATTTCTCAGCATTTTTCCTTTCCCTTCTTTCCTTTCCCCTGCCCCTCCCACTACCCCTACCCCTTTGGACCTTTTCTTCCTATTTTACATTATCGATTATTCATTCTAATCATTGGTA